CTCTGCTTTTCTCGAGGTGTGGCTCGCCCTGTGACGGGACTCCGGCTCCAAAAGTGGCTCAGCCCGAGGCTCAGCTGTGTCCGCTGGGTTTTCCGTTCTGGGCTTGCCGACAAAGGAATTTGGCTCTAAAGAGGGGGGCTTGGCTGCTGCTTCGAGAAAATTGCTGTCTAAAACAGACCCCATGCTGCTGCTTCGGCATGACTCCACTTCGATTCCGGTTTCGGGTTCGCGAGTCGCAAACCGCAAACGGTCGAAGCAGACGCATAGTCTGATCTAAAGGCCAAAATCTAATGGAAGACTGTAAATGGACAAAAGGCCTTGCTTTAGAGCCTGCTGCTTCGATGCTGCTGCTTCGACAGTTCACAGTTCGCGAGTCGCAAACCGCAAACGCGCCAAGCAGCCACGTCACGCGAAGCAGACGCATCTCCCCAGCCAGTTCTCTTTAGATCCCAGGAGAGGAATGGACTTGTGGCTGAAGGCGAAGATAGAAGAGCTGAGGAGGCCGGCTGGGGGGGAATTCCGGATTTTCTGTTCTAAAGGGCGACCAATGCTGCTGCTTCGTCTGATGCTGCTACTTCAAGCAGACGCCTGCTGCTTCGAAAACACACCTGTTCTAAAGGACAGAAGACCTGGACCAGAAGCGAGCCCTGCAAGAGAAGTTCCGAAAGTTCTTGGACATTGCAGATGCCAAGATTGAGAAGCAAGAGAAAATTTCGGACCGGCTGGGCATCGTGAAAGCTGAGACTTGGGAGGCCTCCCGCTCCAGTCAATCCGTGTCTTCTGACTTTTGACATTTGATATTGAATCAAGTCTCCGACTTAGAATTTAAATACTTGTTATTATTTAGAGACCGAAGCAAGCTCTCCCCGTGGATGCAGGCTCAGTTGGATGATGCCCGCAAAGCAGCTGCCCTTGTGGGCTTGGTCATAAGGCCACGGCAATTCGCCTCGCCGCCTCTTGATTCCGGGGATCTGGAGGAGTCTGCAGCTGCCTCTTCCTCGGAACGCCGTCTTGGCTCGTCTCCTTTGTCTGCCAGCAAGACATATTACATGACTGGTCGGGCCGGCATGAAATGTGTCTTGCAACTCCACGATGCTTCTGGGCTGCCTTGTGTCTTTAGCCAGCAATCGTAGGCACAATCATCATAGATTGCCAAAGCTTTCATTTTTTGGTGGAGCCTCAACCAGGTTCCGAGCTTGATGGCCCGCACGTGTGGGTACAAACTTCTTCTTCGAACCGAAGAAGTGTGGAAGGTGCTGGCCCGCAACACCACGTACCCCAATTGGTACTCCCGCTTGAGTCTAGGCAGCAAATGCTGCTGGAATCTTGCCTAGTGTCTCAATAAGACGAACTCACATATGTCATGCTTCCGATCCAAGCTGGGCTCTAAGGAACGAGGGCATCACGCAGGAGATCTCCCGAGACTGGCACATCGACTACACGTGCCATCTTGTGCGGCCGTGCAGCTACAAGGGCAACAAGGTCAGCGAGCCCGCTGCTGCAATCAACTTCGAAGGCATGACGTTCTTGGGGTTCTTCTTCGCAGTGCCTTGCTTGCTTCGCCATGTGAGTTTGTCTGTCGACTGCTTCCTGGATTCCTTCTTGCAAGCCCCACAAAACTAGCCGAGGCCGGCAGCAGCCTTCAGCTTCGATCGTGCAAGCCAGAATTGCAGCAGTCCACCTTGCGAGCTTTCGAGCTCGTCGTGCACACGTTTTGCCCGGCGAGCATGTCTGGGCAACTTTTGCCAAACGTACCGGCCAGTCCCTTGGCCACACAAAGCCGTGCCACGCACGACAATATCCCCAAGTCTGCCTATGCTTCTAATTAAGTCCTAATCCAAGGTGACCTTCGCATTGAGGGTCACGAGGTTGTGGACTGGAGCCGGTTGCTCGACTTCTTCGGGCTCCGCTCGAGGCTGGTGCTGCACGCAGTCTCTGATTCAATCAGCCTGAGCTGCTGCTCTTACGTAAGGTGGCAGAAGTGCAAGCTCCTTCCCGCAGCACAACAGAAACTGCAGATGGGTAGCTTGGTTCTGTCAGTAACGTGCTCAGGAAGTAGTCAATGAGAGGGTGAGTCCGAGTCTGACTTGCTGACATGAGCAGAGGAGTCAAAGCAGCCACCGCAGTGTGGTTCATCTTGCGAATTCCTCGAGACGAGCTGCTTTGCGAGGAGCATCGGTCTTGCATTGTGGCATGTATTCGAAGACTCAGCTATAGTCACTCTCGGCTCTGTCTGCTCTAGTCTAGAGAGTACCAGATTCAGATATGACGCAGGGTCGTGTCGCTGCTGGACGGGTCCAGAAACGGCTGATTCATTGCTTCTGCCAAAAAGGCAGAGGTGCATGCTGCTGAGAACATGCAAGAGAGCATGCCACATCCCGAAGCGGACCACGAGATTCATCCCATGAAGAAGAAACCTAGTGGCATTGAAGATGTTTTCTGCGATTAACCTCGCACTGCTTGGTTGCCTCAGAGTTTAGCCACTCCCTTCCGCACCCAGGGACGGCCGAGCACTCCGGTTGGAGAGCAAGCCCAAGGCAATCTTCGCTCTCCAGCGATTCCTGGCGAAGTCCGCCGGCTTCATGAATAGATCGGACGACAGCACGCTTGAGCAGTTGGGCCTGTCCGACATCCTCGTTTCGCATTCTCACAGGACCGGCTGCCTGTCCTGAGGGCAAACCCGGTGATTCTGAAATTTCGCTACTGCCTCGGTGAGGCTCAGCTGCGACATCCTGTACCACTTTTGGCAGAAGAGCTTCGAGGAGCTGCAACATGTGCCTCGGTGGCCATGGGAATCACTAGAATGCGGCACGCCTCGACTGCTGAGGCTTTGGAAAAGCAGAGCTGCAAGAGTGTGCTGCTCATGTCTGATGCTTCTCCGAAAGGCAAGCTGGACGACTCTAAGCTGAATCTTTTACGGGGTTGGAATCTTTTGTCCGACGAAGAATCGAAAGAATCGGCCGTGGATTGAGGCCTGGTGTCCCCTTCTGTTTGCCGGCGACCTCGCCCTGATTGCTCCCTTTCAGAGGATGTCGGCACTGCTGCCAAGCACTGTGAGCGACAAGGTGAAGATGCAGGAAGCCCAACGGGTTGCCGACGATTTCGCAGCCCAGGCCATAGACAAGGACCCGAGCCGAAACAAGAAAGTGTGGCTTTGCTGCAACTTCGTGTCGAAAGAGGGCCTCCTTGCTGCCCCCCTCTTACGCTTCATATTATGCAAGGCCGAAGATCCTCGGCCTCATCAAGCAGCGACGTCTCGCTGCACGGGAGGAACTGCAGGCGGTGATGCACACTCTTAGCCTGGCAGGCCTCGAACTCCGCAAGCCCGACAGGATACTGAGGCCCCCCGACCTCAGGAGTGGCGAGGTCCGCCTGACCAATGCATCTCTCGGACCGATGCTGTGGAACACGGAGACTGGGGTTGCTCAGTGGGACGTCGTGTTACCGGAGGATTGCCAGGAGCTGCGACTGGTGCTGGCCCCCGACGAGGGCGGGCCTCTCTGGGCTGGATTCCAATGGCTTGCCAAGCAGGGGTACCGCATCGGCTTTCTGCCGGATCTTCTGTCGCTTGTCTTACACTTAACTCATTCCCTTGGATTGAGACTGCATTGTCTTCCAGTCTTTCGTGCCAGGCAAACCATAGTAATAGACCAAGGCACAAGCTTCAGAATGCATACCAACGGCTGCTGAGAACCACTCCGAGCATGAAGAGAGACTTGGTCCGGTTGTAATTTTGTCCTGCTTCAGAAGGTGAGAAATCATAACGACTGCTGCTGTTCCCCGTAGCCCAAACTGTTAATTAGCATGGCATCCCACTGTTTCGGCTGTCTTTTTATCAGAAACCGCACATACCTTCCCGGACCATGTCTCTGGCTACAAAAGCGCAGTCGGCCTTGTGATGGTCATCTCCGACTCAAAGCTACGCTTTTCGAGTTCAGTTCAGTTCAGTTCAGGAAGACTCTCTTGGAGTGAATCAAAGGCTTTTGTCACTTCGGGCGGAGATGCAGACCGGAACAGCAGACCGACGTGAAACAGCCACCTCAAACATATGTTTTTTTCGAGTTGCTATTGTTGTCCGAGTGTTCTCTTGTGTATCGATCAATCGACAAGAGGAAAGACACCGACCTGGGCCGGGAAGGCCGCAGCCGAGAGAATATAGCCACAAGGCTTTGTGGATGATATTCTGATTCATGGGCTATGAACTAGGAGAGAGTGCCAAGTTGAGGAAGCTTTCGCAGGCTGTTTCTACCTGACCTACACGATGTTTTATTCATTCATTCATTAATTCATTCACTCTATGATTCATTCTATGATTCATTCATTCCTTCGTTCGTTCATTCATTTATTCATTCATTCGTTCATTCATTACATTAATTCAGCAATTCATTCGTTGCAATCATTGACTGATTGATTCATTCATTC